CGAACCGTAAGTCGCCAGATTGCTACTCTCCCCTTGCAGCCATGGTGCTGGTGCTTTGGCCGGCTGTGTGCCAAGATCTGGAGCAGCTGGCACTGGCTGCGGATCCGGAGTGGGGTGTGGAGGCACCTCCGTACCCAGGATTCCCCGTCCGGTACCTCCACTGCCACTTCCAGTTCTGCTGCCACCGCAGCACACCACCTGTGGCTTTTGTTCCCCCCCCCCCCCTGGGCTTTTGTCCCCCCCCCCCCAGTTTGGGCACTCAGGCCCAAAAAGGTTCGCTACCACTGCCCTAGGAGAACTAAACAAAATGCAGATTTGTGTGACCCAGTGGTGCAGGCACAGAAGTGTAAAAATTAAATTAACTCTTGCACATGTGCTTTAAGTGTAATAGGAAAGATTTAATGTGTCATGGAAGTTTTTCTAATGGGCTCATGTGAGGATCTTAGTGGTGGTCTGAAGGACACTGTTGGAGCCAGTATTAATTCTCAGCTTTACTTATCCCCCTTCTCATTGTCACCACACCACTAAAAGGACTGAAAAAGTAAAATTATCAGTCATTTCCTTTTTTTAAAAAAAAGTGGGGGTTGTGTTCAATGTCCAGAGAAAGATTAACTGTCTTCTGTCATTTAACCAGTATGTCTACATGAGAAATAAACCTATTGTAGACTATAGAGGTAGCTTTCAAGTTTGTATCCTGCATGTTCAACAGCACTAAATAAATTTAAAAAACAAAGAGGAAGAGTAAAAAATCTACAGGTGCACATGAAAATCAACAAATGAGAAGTTATAAAAACGACAAGAATCACAAAACAACCACTTTAAATATAACTTAGTCTGTTATATTTAAGACAGTGATCAGTTCCAACTGCTACTGTATATTTTATAAATATTTTCTAGTGTCTTGTAAACAACTGCTGCTGGTTACCTCAGACAGGCTGTGCAGGTTCTTACAGAATTTCATGGTACATCACATTAGCCAAGAAAATTATGCTTCACTGTGGTTAAAAACTTCTTCTATGTGAAGGGTAGAAGCTCTCTACCCACAACACAGCCAGCAGAGATTGGCAAGCAGCCAGGCAATGGCATAGAGATGCCAGTGTGGACAGTGCAGGAAATGTGTCAAAATGCCATTCTGTGGCCTGCTTGGATAGACTAGATATGCAGACAATTCTTGCACACTTCACTGGACTGAAATGTGATTAAGAAGATATCTCTACTACTGTCATTACAACAAATCAATACCACTTGAACCACCACAGCTTCATTCTTCAGAATCTTGAGATGCGTAAGTTGGTGAGATGTGTAACTTAACGATGAATTTTCTGCTGGAGAGCTCTAGTGTATTCTCCTGAACAATAGTACTGGAGCTTTCTAGCAAGGAATTCAGTGTTACCACACCAGACTATAAGTCCTAAGATTCTCTATGATGGAGCTATGGCAGTTGAACTGTCATCAAGCTCACAGCTGTACATTATATTTTTATTTTACAGTGGTGCCTCGCATAGCGATGTTAATTCGTTCCGCAAAAATCGTTGCAGAACGAAAACGTCGCTATGTGATATTAAAAAGCCCATAGAAATGCATTGAAACCCCTTCAGTTCATTCCTATGGGCTTAAAACTCGCCGTTCAGCGAAGATCCTCCATAGCGCCTGTTACATACAGCACTGATGTTACCTGTCTGTCATGGGTTTGGAGGGAAAGTTCCATCCTATGGGGAGTGGAAGGCGGGACATCAGGAGGAGGGGCTGTACTGTATATATAGGTGAAGCCTGTGTGGAGAAGTTTAGACGCTGGGATGTGAAGAAGCAGCAGCTGGGAAGAAGAAGCTGGTGTGGGAGTCTGTGTGTCAGACAGGGTACTACTGTGTGTCAGAGTACCAACCTGATAGGTTCAGGTGTCTGTTGGTTAGCCAGAACTGATAGGTTCAGGGTCTGTGCTTCAAGTTAAGGGTTCTGTGCGAACCAAACTGTATGCATGTATGAATGAGAATAAGCCACGTTACTTTATCTTATTCACCTGATCATTTTATTTTCCCTGTGTGTTGTATTTAAATAAACCTT